CCTTCTCCGCCGCATTTTCCGCGCCGCCCGCCGCAGAGCACCAGCGCACAGGTACCACCAGTGCGCAAACACGGAAAGTTTTTGCCCGCGCCATGGCGCAAATCACAAGACAGCCCGTTCCCCGGTACAAGTACACAGTCGGCGGGTAATTTGGGGGTGCCAGGGATGGGAATTGGGGGACACTTGAGCATATCATGCACAGGCGGACACAATATGGACACCAACACACACCAACGACAAGCTGTCTGAGCCCAAGCAGCGGTGCCAGGCGAGGCGGGGGCGCACCTTCCCCAACGACCCCAGCCCACCGCGGCCCCGAACCGGCTCAGCCTGGGGAACCCCGGGGCCCCTCCCCGGCAGCTCCGGGCTCACCTGAAGCCCCCGCCTTTCTCGCCGGCCCCCACCCCAGGACTCGGGGCATCTTACGGTCGCTGGCGCTGGCTTGTCCAGCCGGAAACGACCCTCAGTGTTGCTCGGCACCACTTTTCTCCCTGGAGGGCACATACTTCGACCGCCCAAGCCCAACCAAGGACCCCTCCCGCTCCCAGGGCAAAGTTCGGGCCCCTCGCCGGAACTTTCTAGCAGTCTCTTCCCGCCGTGGCCTGGACCCCCCTCCTCCCGCCGCCAGGCCCCGAGCCCCACCGGGCGGCCCTCCCACCGCCTCCCGGGGCCCCCGGCAGCCCCGCTCCCCGCGGGCAGAGTCCGCCGCATTACCTAGAAGCAGCAGGCGGTGCGTACACATGTACCCCATCTTTTCTTCCTGGAGTTGTTTGTCGATGAGCTGGCTGCGTTTCTTCTCTGCGCGCTTCTGGGCGCGCTTCTCCAGGGCTTCCTTGCGCATCTGTCTGCGCTTCTCCGCCAGAGGAATCTTCTTGACCTTGGGGCTGTGCGCGGCTTTGGGCTGGGGGCTCTCGGATCGGCCGAAGCAGCCCCCGAAGGCCTGCATGAGGAAGTTGCGGAGCAAGTTGCGCCGGGGCTTGCGGCGGCGGCGGCTTCGCCGGGGCTGCAGCCAGCGGCGGCACCCGGAGGTCCCATCGTCGGACTCATCGCTGCTGTGGTCGTCGTCGCTGCTGACCGACCCCTCGTCGTCGTCGCGGCCGCGGCCAGACCTGCCCCGCCAGGCAAATGCGCGAGTAGGCTGCGGAGTAGGCGGATCGGCAGCCTGGATCTCGGGGCTGGGGGGTCGAAGGAAGCGGAGCTTGGGTCGGGCTCCAGACGCAGGGGCGGCAGGGGCTCCTCGGGCGGCAGGGGCGGCTCGGGCGGCCCGGGCGGCAGGGGCGGCCCCGGCGGCCGGAGCTGCCCGGGCGGCCGGAGCGTCAGGGGCGGCAGCGGCGGCCCCGGCGGCCGGAGCGTCAGGGGCGGCAGCGGCGGCCCCGGCGGCCGGAGGAGCAGGGGCGGCCCCGGCCTCAGGGGCTCCGTCCCCGGGAGAGGGGACTTTTCCTCTCTCTGCGGCTGCTGCGGCGGCTGAGCCTCCTTCCATCTCGGCTGCTTCTCCCTCAACTGGGGGTCTCTCTCCCTCTGCTCGCTCTCTCTTAACTGGGGCTCCGGAGACCTCGATGGGCGGGTCGTCAAGCGCGATTGGGGGGCTGTCCATGTTGACGGGAGCGTCGTCGACCCCAACGGGGGCGCTGCCAATCTCGAGCGGGGGTCCGGAGATCTCCATCGGGGGGCTGTCGCCCGCGAAGTGCGGAGGAGGTCTGACAGCCTCTCGGGATGGGCTGCCGATGGCGCCTGGGTCCCCGAGGGGGGGCTCGTTCGCGGCGGGAGCGAGGAGGACCGCACTCGGGACCGCCACTGCCGCGGGCTGGCCGCGGCCGCCGCCGTCGATTTGTGGGATGGCTCGGGGGAGCCCGGGGGGTGGGCTGTCGTCCCCAGAGGCTGCTCCATCAAACTCAAATGGCATAGCCTCCTCAGGGGGAGGGCTACAGTCTCCTCCGAAGCCTGTGTTTGCAGGCTTGAGGGCTCCGGGCTCCTGGGGAGGAGTGCTGAAGACCCCAGCACCTGGGCCTCCTGGAGCGAGGTCTGAGACCCGCAGGAGAGGCTGGCTGCAGCCTCCCTGTGCAGGCTGCTCAAACTCAAAGGGCATGGCTTCTTCAGGTGGAGGGCTGTAGCCTCCCAGGCCCGGCCCAGCATCATCGAGGGCTCCGGGCTCCATGAACGCTGGGCGGAAGACCTCAGGGCCTGATGGGGCCCCGGTGGTGTCTCCAGGCTGCTCCAGGGCAGGCCAGAAGCCCCCTGCGCTGGGCTGCTCGACCTCGAAGGGCATGGCTTCCTCAGGAGGTGGGCTGTAGCCTCCGTGGGCTCCGGCTTCCTCGACGGCCTGGCCCAGGTCCTGGAAGTTGGGCCCGGAGACCTCTGGGGGTCCGCAGGCCTCGCATTCAATCTCGTTGGGGACGGGCTCGCCATGAGGCGGTTCGGTCTCCATCTCTTCGGCTGCGCCAGGCCCAGGACTGGGGGCAGCTGCCCCTGGGGCCTCCAAAGGTGGTTGCTCGGGCTGTTCCCCGAGTTCAAGGGGGATATCGCGTTGTCCTGACATATTATTGCCGTCGAGGCAGTTGCGCACGCCCATAACACGGTGGCGAACTCTTAAAATAAACTTGGGGCCCCGTAAGACGGAGCACCCAACCGAACTAGGGTGAAAAAAATATCTTCAAAAAAATTCAGAGTACCAGCTAGAAAGTTCTCCCACCTCACTTGCCAACCCTCCTAAGGTCTGGGGGTTGAGGGCCTCAAACCCAAGACCGAAGGGGAAGCAACCCTACTGTTGCCGGTGGAGTTTTGGCTCCTTCCTGGCCACTTTTTATCCCCTCAGGCTGCCCCTTGGCGCCCCCCTTGGCCTGCCCTTGTCCCCTCCTCTCTCGCTGTCTCTGTCTCTCTCTCTCAGTGTCTCTGCTCCAGGCCAGCCCCGCCTGCTTGGATCTGAGGAGCGTGCCGATTCGGTCCGAAAATCGCTGGTAGTGCTCGCTCTCTGCCACCAGAGGACGCCGGCCCTGGTGCCAAGGCGGCTCCGGGAGCCGGATCCCGGGCGCCGGTAGCCCCGGACTTTGGGTAAGGGGGCCGATGAGCGCAGGCCTCGCAGGGATGTTTTGGCTCCTTCCACTCCTCGCCCTGACTGATTTGGAGTCTTTCTCCTCTCTTATCCCCTGGCCAGAGAGAGAGAGCTCTCCTGCGTTGCGGGACACGTGACGCAAGACGTGGGCCCCGGGCTGCTTGAGCGCAAGAGCTGAAAACCCTCCCTCCCAGACCCAAATGACTCTCCTCGGGGGGAGGGGGGAACCGCAGGAGGGTTTCATCACCCCAAGATACCCCTGAACCCCTGAGCCGCAGCCCCCAGACCTGGGCAGCCTCCAGTCTTGAGTTCCAAGTCCGGAGCCCAAGGCTTCGGGCGCATGGGAAGGGGGCGCGGGCGCGCGCGGGGATGCGACAGGTGGTCGCGAGCCCACCGGCGGGACGGACCGAGGCGAGGGGCGAGGGGCCGCCGCGAGTGCGCCCACAATTTGTTTTTAAAATGCCTTGGGGGTACTTTCCAGCGCTCCTGCGGCATTTGCCGGCTTGCCGAGGCTGGCTCCTGTAAAGCACTCAATGTCCCCCAGCCCCACCACACTCCGGGGGTCCACGCAGTAGTCTGGGGCGGCGCAGGCAGGGTTTCCCCCCGTTTATGCGGACGACGATGCAGGGGAATAAGAGGGTCTTGGGGGCGTACCACGGAGACCCTCTAAGCGATAACTGCCGCGGCCCGGAACGGGGGGCGCGTGACGCGCACGGAGACCCCCATCCGGTGCAGGCCTCAGAGTTCCGGGGGTCCCACTGTTCTGGGGAAGGGTTAGCGGGGTTTGCGTTGGGATTTGTGGCTGGCTCAGCGCGGTCTCCGAGACTGGACAACCCTGTGCGCACTGAACCCAGAGACACCCCGTGCCGCGCCGGCAGCTGCGGTGTGATGTGCCGCGCTCTGCCTCGGGCGCCGGCTGCGGAGCCGGTCGGCCAGCCTCCCCAGCGCCTCTCTGGCCCCTCACCGGCCCCCTCCGGCCCCTCTCCTCTCGCTGTGGCTCTCCCAGCGCAGCCGGTTTACTTTCCCACCAATACAGCGCTCAGAGGCGGCACCGAGCCCGGCCACGAGTGCAGCGGCCGCCGGGCTGCGCCCCTGTCTCCGAGGCTCCTGTGGGCTTGGAGCCGGATGGGGTAAAATACCCGCACTGGCTGGGTGGGCTTGGCGCGTGCACGCGCACTGCTCTGGGTCTGGGGTCTGCGGAAGGAGTTGAGCCGCGGGGAAAAAAAAATTGCTGCTTGCGGGTCACGTACGACCCGGGACGTGAGCACGAGGGCTGTCTCGCCAGCGGGCGACACGGACCCGCCAGCTACCTTTCGGTGCAGGGCAGCCGGGCACGAGGCAGGTGGTCGCCGCGGGCGGGGGAGAGACGGCCGGGTGGGTTTCACGAGGGGTGGGCTGCGGCGAGCGGGAGGCGCCGCTCGGACTGCTGTGTCTCTGAGCCGCAGGCGGGTGAACCCCGCACGGTCCAGTCTCGTTAGGTGTAACGCATCCCTCTTAGAACGACGGGACCACAGCCACCGCGCATCACCGCCTGGCACCCACCATCCACGTGGCCGCGCTGCAGAGGAGAGCTGACAAAGTCGGACTCTGGACGTGTGGGGTCCCCCCCAAAAGGCGTACCATGTCAGCTCCATGGGTCTACACACTTGGGACTGCCAACCCTGAACTTTGGCTCAAACTTTGTCCAACTCTCCCCATGTGCGATGGCTCAACCATCTGAGCATCCACTGAATGGGCCAACTGGGTCCTGACAGTCAACTCAGTCCCCTTCGACCCCGGCGCCGGGTCAGCCATTGGGCTGGGGTCACGCCAATCAAGGTTGCCTGGCGAATGAGCGGGGGGCGTCCGACCGGAACCGGATATGAATGGGAGGTCCAATAGGGGGCGCCGCGTTGGAACGCCCAAAGAGGTTGTGCTGCTGGGGTGTTTGGAAGCGGTTGGCGGGCGGGCGTATGGCGGCCAGGCCTGGGAAGCCTCGAGGCCGCCTGGCGCCGTGGGGTCACTCTTCCTGATGCCACAAGTCACAAAGGCAGGAAGGGAGGCTTGGGAGCTGACAGGGGCCAACCCTAGGTCTCGCAGGTGGTCGTGGGCAAGCCCACCCGTCTGAGGGAACCGCTGCTGAGACCAAGCGAGGAGGAAGAAAATGTCCAGGGCCTGGAGGTAGAGGGCCGGGACCCTGAGGCGAGAGAGGGCCTACGGCCCCGATGCAGAGGAGCAGTCCCAGATGGATAAGGAGTTGAGGCCCCAGGGATGCTGCGCCCTGCCGAAGTAGAAGGTCAGTAGACACTGGGGTTTGGAGCCCCGAAGGGACGGGCTGCCCTCGTCTCGGGCCTCGCTTCCCCAGAGCTTCACTATTCATCAGCGAATGGGAACGGGGTCTCTTTGACCTCGTCAGGGACGTGTGGGACCCCTCTGTTCAACACTCTTTGGTATCTTGGTTCTTGGCCTGGAGCGCACAGACACCGAGGGGGTCAAGGCTGGATAGACACCAACCCTCCATCCTAAAGGAGAAGCAACAGAAAAATGAGAGGGAAGCCCTCTCCTGGGAGGGGAGGGCTTGAAAGTGTTGATGGGGAATATGGCGTTTCAGATGTGCCTCCACGGATGGCTCGGGCCCTTGGCTGCCAGTGGGGGCTCGAATGAGAGATGTGGGCCCCCAGGAACAAGGAGGGGGAAGCTGGGTAAAGAGGATAGGCCACCGTCCGGTCTGGGAGGTGCGTGGGAGTGAAGACCGGACAGACGGAGAAGATCTCTCTGAGGATACCGGGAGGGCTCTGGGGAAGCACTTTTGAGGCTGTTCTGGTAGGAAATGGAGATGTTGAACGTTATTCGTGCTGCAAGTGGGGCTTTGAGCTTAGTTTTAGTAAAGATGGAGGAGGGAGGGTGGAGGATGGTCCCACTGGAGAGAACAAAGGACGCTGTAGCTGGCCTTGACCTTTAAGATGGTGAGAACCACATGCAGGGAAGGAAGCAGGAAGGCTGAATGAGGGGACTCAAGAGGGATCCCAAAGGGCCCTTGAGCCTCTCCTGTGCTAGAAAGGCTCAAAAGGTAGAGAAGCCCAATGAGGCACCTGGATGATGGGACACAAGTGATGCAGGACAGTGGGGAGGATCTTGGGGAGGAGTTGGCATGGTGGCCGAGCCAATTTGGTTTTAGGCGTGGCAGAGGTGAAGGAAGGATGGGTGGTAGCAGGAGAGTTTTTTTCCAGCCTATTAATTAAGAGGGCAGGTCTCAAGTTTCGAAGGAAGGTAAAGACCCCAAGTTCAAAGTGACAACTGTCCTTATAGGATATGGAGTCACTGGGTCAGACACCACCCTAAGGGGAGGAATATATCTGGTGAGAGAATCATGAACACTCAGAGCCCTGGCGAGGAGAGGAAAGCTGTCGCAGGAGGAGGGAGCAGTGGGCTAGGAAGGCTTCGTGGGGGGACACGGGGGGGGGGGGCTAGGAAGCACCCATGCACCTAATCAGGATTGTGGTTTCTTAGCCTCTGTGCTGTTGACATCGGGGCCAGATCGTTCTTTGCTGTGGACTGTCCTGGGCTCTGTAGGGTGTTAGCAGCATCCCTGGCCTCTACCCACTAGATGCCAGTAGCAGCCCCTTAGTTGCAGCAACCTAAAATGTCTCTAGATTTTGCCAAATGTCCTCTGGGAGGCAAAATCGCCCCCAGATGAAACCGCTGCAGTAGGCTGAGAAAAGACCCTCAGATTTGAGTAGGCATCGCCATAATTTAAAGGTAAATTAGGACCAGGGAGAGAAAACGACTCTATTTAACTGTGATGTTCCCCATTCTGTCTTTCTACTCTTTCGTATTATCATTTTCTTCGTAGGCACTGGCCACCAGAATCTGAAACCTCACATCACTCACACGAGGGGGTTTCAAAGCTGAAACCCCAGATCAGCCGTGGGACCTGAGACACCGCAGAAGGGCGTCCAGATGTTTGAGGAGCTAACATGAACGGCAGCTGGCGGGCCGGCCACGGGGACCGGAGGAACCTGGTATGTAAGAGCTGGGGGCGATTAGCTGCTGGGGTGACTGGGGGGCTCCTTGATAGGTGGGGCTGTCTAGCGAGCCCACTTAGGACTGGCGAACTTTCTAGTTCAAGACAGAAATGGGGCCTGGCCTTGGCCGGAGATGGCCAGTTACAGGTGGTGGGGGGTAGCCTAGGCCAGATTTCCAGTTCAAATGGATTTCTATCACGGAAAGGGTCCGTATCTGATCGGAATAAGCAGGAACGAGCAAGGAAAGTCTCGCTTTTGAGTTCACACAGATGACGAAGAGGAAGGCAAGACGGGCCAGTCATAGGGTGCCTGAGAGAAGTGGGTGCCAGGGTCTGGGCCCTGTTCCCACAGGGAGTGCACAGGAGCGGAGGCCTGCAGTGGGATGGGTGTATCCGTCAGAGAAGGAAAGGGTGGGCTGTTAAAATCCAGGTGAAGGTTTCTGGGAAACTGTATCCTCAGCTACTTAAAAAGAATACAGATTTCTTCCAGTCCGTGAATCAAGAGAGGAAACGCTGCCCATGTTCAGTTAACCTGCATTTCTGAGGAATGCCAGCCTGTTTACCAAAAGGCCCAGCTGCCTCAGGTAGCTGACCGGCTGGCTCTTTGTAAATGAGTAAACCCCCAGGGGAAAGAAGGTAGCCCTTCACCCTTGGCTCTCTGAACAGCACCTTGGCCATCCCCCGTAGGGACATGGCCCCCTGCCTCGACGACCGCGTGTGGCACCCCGGGCTTCCCAAACTCCCATCTTCCTGCTGTACCGACATCCGCACACCTCGTAATCTGCACACGGCCGTTCGCACACTTCCATCCGGGGATTCTTACTCATCCCCCAAAGCACAAGACACATCCAAATTTTAAGCAGCTGCCTGTCCACTTTTCTCATTTCATCCCTGTATCCGGGAAAGAGAAAGCAAAGGAGGCAGAGAAGGAGGTGGTCGAGAGGGAAGGGAGCAGAAACCGGGCAAAGTGATCTTTTTTTTTTCTTGGCAGCGGCATTTCCTCCCAGCCTAGGGCTTGGGGCGGGGCCGTGTGCAGAAGAGCGGTCTCTGCAGACCAGTCCTGCCGTGGCTCTCTGGCCGTGGCTTGCTTTTGAATGAGGTAAAGGAGACTCTTTTTGCCAGTTGTGAGGAAAAAGCAAAAGCCAAAAGGAGAGAACCCGGGCAAAAGAGATCAGGCCACTGTTCTGTCTCCCCACCTCCCGGTGACCTGTGTTTGCTGAGCGCTGACTGAGTAGCAGTAAGACTGTGAAGCTGTCGGGTTAATTACCGCTCAGTTACGACTTGCTGTGCCCATCCTTCCCCGTTCAGCATCTCCTCTGCCAGCCTCGGCCGGTGGAGGCAGCAGCCTCCTGTCTGCAGAGGGTCTGTGTGACCAGGCTGTTTCAGGCAAATGCCACTCGGAGAGAAGATGCCTCAGACAGAGGTTAGGAGCAGGCGCACGGCTGGGGTTACAGACGAGCAGAGCCAGATGTAGGAAAATGCCCGATCTGCTCTGATTTACAAGCCCCATGCTGCCCGCAGCCCCAGGGGCCGAGGGTCTCCTCCCAGGAATTCAGACCCCTTCCGTTCCGCTCCCTAGCTAAACTCAACGGCCCTCGACCTGGAAGGGTTACCCGTTTCTGCTACAGCCAGACACATGACCACCCTCTGACCGCCTGTGCTGGCGCGGTGGGCCGGCACGTTCTCAGCAGTCACTTGAACTGGGCTGTGGATTCCTTCCTTCTCCGGGCTAGCTGATGGTGCAGTGGGCAGTGTGGAGGGGAGAAAAGATGAACAGTGCCCTGCGAAGGGGACCAAGAGAGGGGCAAAATGTGGGGCCTTGAGGGGCAACAGGGAACCCCAGAAGATAAATCTGGCTTTAGTCGAGCTCTGTTGCAAATTTCAGTAAATTATGGTGGAAATCCCAGGCACCCTGGGGACATCTGGGCACCATAATTTGAATTTAAGGGGAATAGTGTATTTCACATTTGTGCATAGCCATAGCCTCAATTTCCCGGGGTGCATTCTCCCCTTGAACTCTAACGGAGAGAGCACTAGAAGCCAGAGCATTCAGCAACCGGCTCTTGCCTCGGGGAGGAGAGACTGGTCTTCAGCTGGCCGTGGTCCTTGGCCAGTGTGAGAGTCGGGGCCTCTCTCTGAACTGAAACCCAAGATTTAGGATTTGAGCTATAACAGGAGATTTCCTAGGCCGTGAATCTTTGACTGAGGTTGAAGCTGTTGAGGCACAGGCGTGAAAACCCCACTCTACCCGTGAAATCGAGGTTCCTGTCTGTCTGTAGAAGCCCTCCAGGGGAAGGTGACCTTAAGGGTACCTAATCTGAGCCCCCGGGGTGGCCCTCCACTGCTCTGCCTGGCACTGTCTCTGCTGCCACCAGATTTTTGAAGATGGCCATGGAGTTGCCCCTAAATCTTTTCCTCGCCTCCATCTCCCCTTTTTTGTTCGTACTATTTACAGCTCTGACGTTGATGGGCTTTGTGACTCCTGTGCCCAGATCTTATCTTCTGTTCCTTCCCTACTGTTCGTGTCTCCCACTCCCTTCCAGTGTTTCTGTGGGATCCCCCAAAACCTTCCTTTCCCTTTCTTGTTCCCGAACCTTCCCACACGGTACAGGCACCGCACAGCATCTGTGCACGCGGCCCGGTCTTACCCTGGCATTCCCAACTGCCATGTCTCCCCGTTACTTTGCAGCGTGCTCACCCTAAAATAAGCTCATAAGTAAAAATAGGCCACGTCCACATGCAAAGCCAGGAAGGCAGCCTCCCCACTTCTACCTTGCAACAAGGAGTCTGCTGGCGCGGGATGGGGGAGGGGGTGCCGTGACGCCAGCTCCTCTGGGATTGCCCTGTCTTGACCGGCTGAGCGCTGTCAACAGGTGACAGGGGCCCTGCCCTGCAGACTCCTGGCCTTGGGAGAACTAAGTCACTAGGCTGTTTCCTCTGGCTTCTCTGCTATGTGAATTGACTGGGCACCAGGATAGGTACCAGGGGCCTTGGGGGCAGGGGAGGAATGTGAGATTTTTTTTAAAAAGGGAAAACCAAACATTAGTAAGAGTTACCTTATAGATAGCCTTGTAATGTGTAGCCGAGAAAGAAAAAACCAAAAATGGGATGTTCAATCATAATTTGATTTTTTAACATTTACTTTGCTATCCTCCGGGTTTACAGAAGAAAATTGGTGTAGGGGGAAGTGTGAAAAAAAAAAAATCTTAGCATCACAAGGTCCCGCAGTATAGAAACAGCTATACAGTACAGCTCTGTAACTGTGGTATGAAAATTCCATGGGAGAGGAGCAATTAAGAAAAAAAGCCTGAGAAAGCTCCTGGGAGGGAAGGATAATAAAAACAAACACAGGAGCTCAGGAGAAGGGTTCATCCTAACTAGCGGCAGCCCCCGAGCCCCGGAGCCGTGCTGGCAGGCTTTCTACGGAGTGTTACCAGTGTTATCAAATGATACATTCAGCACTTGGGGTCGGTTACCCGGCGCTGCTGTCGGCCTGCTGGCTCCCAGAGCAGTAAGCACCTCGGGGCTGCAGTACTCGGTGCAGCGCTGGCTCGGGCCGCCTGCTCCCCCTCAGAAAAGCTCGTTTTCACCCGCAATCAGGGAGAGCAGGTGAGGGAATCGGCAGCTCAAGACCCACACTTACAGATCTGCTCTGAGGATGGCCATTTTCCCCCTCGGGCTAGGAATGGGCCACAGTGGGAAGTGGGATTCTGTATTCCCTAACCTGCCTTTTTTGAACCATTCTTTGCCACCCGTTCAAAACCAGATCGGATACAATTGAAATGAGAACAACGCAAAACAGGCTTCTTCACAACTGGTGCTTTTTATTTGATCCACCTTGAAGTTTTTGTTTTTTTTTTTTGTTTTTGTTTTTTTTGTTTGTTTCGGCTGTTAGTGTTAAAATCATGGATGGAGTGAGATTGGGCAAGCCTGGGTTTAATTGACCTGCACACATTCAGAGCCGAAGGGGATGCTGTGAACATCTCATTCAGCTCCTTCATTGTCCGTGTGAGGAAACTGAGGCAGTGAAGTGTGGGGGGCGGCCCGGGCCTCGGAGGGCCTTGGGTCTTACAGGTCATGCTGTCCACTTCTGGGGCATCAAGATTTAGGAAATGGTCATGAATGTCAAAACCCCGCAGAGGAGGGCGAGGGTCCCCACCCTCATTCTGGAGCACGGGGACTGAAGATGTAATCTGAGAATCTCATCCCTTTTGCTGGGCAGTTTCTAAGAGCAGGGCAGCACCTGGGCGGGCCGATGACGTCACTCACCTCTGGAAGCTTAATTGGATTTTAGTCATTTGGTTTTTTGTGTTACAGGTCACATTTCTGTTAAGTTACATACTTTCCCCCATACCATGGTTTCTGCTCAGTTTCCTCTCAATAGCTTCCCTGAGCAGGAAGGGCGGTGATAACACATGTAAATTAAGGAAAATCCATTCAGATTAAAAAAAAAAAGACCTCACTCTTACCCACATGGAAGTTTCAGCTTCCTCATGAAATCTTCTATCCCAGCTGCTGAAAGTGAGGGCTAAAGAGTTAAAAGGGGTCATAATGGGTCCCCGGGGGTGGGTGTGTGTGTGTGTGTAAACCAGCTTCTAGCGCATTAAAGACACAACCTCTTAAAAACAATTCCAAACTTTAAAATTCCCAGTTCTTGAATTCCGATAAACATAAATTAAAAGTTTTGTTTGCCAAACTTTGGAAGTTGCCCTCTGCCAGATGGTTGACAGCACACAGTATTTGAACACTGCTAGAATTTTCCAACTCAGAACGTTGAGTTTTAAGAGGACCTCTGTCCAAGAAAAAGCACATTTCTATTAAGTGATTCATGTAGCAAAGGAAAATGCTACCACCAGAGCACACCATCACATTTAACCAGCATTTCTTGACTCCTCCCCTCCTTCCTCTCTCCGTGTGAAATACTACCACTGGCTAGTAATTCACTTCTGTTGCCAACTGAGAAGGGTTTTTTGAGTGAATTTCCTCACCAGACACCCT